GTTTGGCCAATCTTGTTCAGGTGGCCACTCTGGGATGAACACATAATCAGCTTCGGAACATATGGCTGCCACTAGAGCCAGGTAACTGTAATAGTATGTTATAAAAGCTAGCTAAAAATATTATATTACATAAACAACGTGGTAATTATGATATAATGAAATGACCAATTCCATTTTAAATTGATAAAAATATGAAGATAATAACAAAGATACTGCTACTAGAATATTACAAAAATGTAAAATCGCAGAGCTTTAAATTCTTATTCGATATTTGTTTGAACAAATTTTTACTGCTGAGAAAAATTTACAATGTAAATTTACAATACTCAGAAACTAACATCCTTTTTCACAATTTAACTATTCCGGTAAAGGAGCAGACACACGTTTAATATAAATAAAAATAAATTCAATGCAATGTAATCTGGCTGACAAGTTTTATATTATAGAAAAGCATGGTTCATTAAGGACAGAATAATGATTGATCAAGGACGTGCCTGTTGCACAGCTTTGCAAAGTTCCTCGACCCAATCACCTGACGGCGGAACTTCAGGTATAAAGCAATAGCATGCTTCGGAAGATAAACTTGAAGCTAACGTCAGATACCTGAAAGACTTTAGTTTTTTATTACATTCGCACTCTTGTGCTTTATTGGAATTTCCTTCTATCCTTAAATTAAAATGCTAATTACAAAGTTTCCGATTCTTTTGACTTTACGCTTAACTGTAAGATGGAATAGGTTGTAATACTGACAACATAATTAAGCAATTAAAAATACATGAAAAGGAAAAACACAATTGTTGAATTTGTTAAACTAAGTTAGGGGGAAACAACACTGTAACATGTAAATTTATAATATCCTAAACAACGTGCCTGCTCCAATTTTTTACATAATTTATCAGGCCAGTCAGCAGGAGGTGGTGATTCCGGGCAGAAAACATAGTCTGCCTCTGCCGCTAAAGCACCCACAATTGCCAAATACCTATCCAAAACGTTGTCACATTTGTAAAGAATAATATGAAAACAGATATTCTTCAATTCACAAAATATCATGATTGAATCCTTTTAATAAATAAGTTTCCTCGAGAAATATAACTAATTTTTTGATTTATTTAAAAAATAAAAATTCTTAGTATTTCACTAGCAAAATATAAAACTTACAAACTTGCAACTTACCCGCAATGTCGACCCATAACTTCCATTATAAATGTTCTTTGATGGGAATATGCAGTGCTAACAATAGCATCGATACTTTCAATAATACGATGTAACGCAGAATCGGTACCAATAGTCATATCAGTCCCACAAAAGTCATTATCGATAGAACCTACCATACCAGCAATATGTAAATGTTGGTATTTTTCAGCTTGTTCTGGAGTAATTTCACCTAAATAAAGAGCAATAGTAAAATATACATAAAAACATAATATGCATAATACAGTTATTAAAATATCTGATTTTTACTTACCTGCATCAGCTAATTCTTTTAAGAGATCTGGCCACTCTTCTTTAAATAAATTTGCACCAGTAAGAGAACCATCGCCTCCTATTACAACCAAATTGGTTATTCCATGAGTTACTAAATTTTTTGCAGCTGTTCTACGACCAGCACGTTCCCTAAATTCTTTGCAGCGAGCAGATCCTATTACTGTGCCACCCTAAAATATGTAATTTTAATGGTATAAATATGTAATATAGCAATTTATATCGAGTTGTAATAACAATCAAAATACATACTCTATGAATGATACAAGAGACAGATGACCAATTTGCTTCTATAATATTATTTCCACCATCTACCATACCCTGATAGCCTTCTTTAATGAAAAAAACTTTACATCCTAGATAAATACCCATTCTGACAACTGCTCGAACTGCTGCATTCATTCCTAATAAATATTATTATTGAAATTTAAGTAAGAAGAATATCAGTCAACATATATTTATATCTCACTTAAATTAATTAATTTATTACCTTGAGAATCACCTCCACTGGTAAAGACTGCAAGGCCTTTACCTTTGTGACTACCAGGCTTTATGAATCTTTGTGCTGCTAATTCTTCTGCCATTTTTGGTGCAGGATACCACTTATGTTTCTACAATATAATTTCTTTTGTAATTACTTCCTTATAATATTAGGCAAAAGTCTTAATAAAGTATATAAGTATTAACCATAATTCATTTCATAAACAGACATTAATTTACTCATCCATAAAAAGAACTACATCTTTTTCTCTAAAGATACATAAATCTAGATTTTTTTTCATTATTGTAAAAATGCAACAGAATATCAAATGGTAATTCCTTATAAACATTGACTTTAATTTTTTATCGATTAAGAGGATAACAAGTATGTAGAAAGAGAATATATTATATTCAACAAATTTTTAACTCACTTCGAAAGAATTCATTGACAATTTCAAATCTTGGATATTAAATGTTGAACTTCTATTAATATTATCTTCCATTACATCTGGGAGTGAGGTACTCACAATGCAAAAATTTATTTGATTTTCAAAGATATGATCTTTATCATCTGATAAAAATGTTGATGTTACTTTTAAGAATTCTTGTTATACGATACGAAATAAATTTTATAATTAATACATATTACTTTGTATAGGAATTGGAACATCAGAGGATGTATCCTCTTCCTCTGATTTATCTTTCATTGTGCAAACACATATTTCATCATGTTTCATAGACATTATACTTTGGAAAGTAAATATACAAGAAATTTCAACAGTCATTAAGAAATAATTTCTCATGCCCTATCTGAAGATATATAACCTAAAATAACAAATACTATTTATACTATACAAACTATACTCTACTGTTACAATCTGAACATAGGTTTTAATTCATTTCAAGGAACTCATTACAAACATTTACATAACAGTCTATAAAATATATTCTTCGCATTATAATATACCCTGTCGCTTTTAAATATCATAAAAGTGAATGTTACTTCAATAACCTTTATTGAATGAGTTATATATACATATTATATATATATATATATATTTGAATAAATATATAAAAGTCAATGAGTAAAAACAAAATGAGTCATAAACATAGAAAATCATAAGATTGAATTTTCACCAAACAACGAATTATCTCACTTCAAATCATAATTATTAGAGAGCAAACAATGAGAAAAACAGAACATTGCAACATAAAACATTTTCAGCGATCCTTCTTGTTTTAAAATAAAATAGCATGTGCTCAAAGAATCAATGGAATCTGGCACAGTCACAATCCACTGTGCATCAAAACATTAGAACAACGATAACGGGTATAAAATAGATTGTGAATTAACACTGCTTGCATGTAACATAAACTTTATATATAAAAAAATGTCAAGTTAATATAAAAAATTGACAAGCTGGTAAGATGCAAAACAGTCAAACTTGTTGGAAAACTAAATAATTGTCTTTTACAGCATGTATACAAATTAACGTCATTCTGTCACTGACATTTAGTTTGGTTTAGCATGCATAAAATGTACTTGAATGAAATTGAACATTTTTCAACTTACCAAACAGATATGCGTCTAACTGCAACGAGGATTACGTGGACGATTTTTCCCTAATTTCAAAGTTACCTGTACTCGAAGGACCTGCAGTGCTCTGACGAAACATGAGACACTGCTTTCACGTCTTCAGTCTAACTAAAACTGAAGGTGACCTCTACGTGTGCTTCAGCACGAGTCCCCCACCAGCAATATCAGTTAGCTCTCACACCCCACCCTATGTAAAATTAAATTTAGGAAGCGGCCGTAGATGGTGTTAGAACGACAATACATGCAACCAGCCAATACGATGTCTTTTAACTGCTGCACTTATTTTTCCGAGACTATTTTAAATTTTGCTCGTTAAAAGTTCGTGTGATTCTGTGCGTTTTCATTTTCAATGTCGAAGTCGAACTAATTCCAATGTATTCTATCACGTGCTATATGCAAAGAGATTCGACAGATCCTACGAGAACATCTTACGTATTCACTGTTTCGCACGTCACACATTTTAAAAGAGTGAAACATATCTCGACTCGACCATCATTTTCACTAAACAGTTATTGATGTACGACTGTTCAAAGACAATGCAATTCATTCTAATAATAATCCGTGACTAAATGAACTTCGCACGTACATGTGACAACAGTTTTACGCCTCTTCTATGAATGGCTGATACTTGAATACTTTTATTTTTAATTGTGCCGCTAAAAAGAACGTAAGCTCGAAATAATTATTTACTCTCTTTTTACAAATTAAAATGTCATCGTCTAGTGGTAAACAACTTTGACGGGATAAACATATAGACCGATCTACAATCAGGTTACCAAAGTGACGAATCTTCATCTTCGAAGGAGGAGATCAGTAACAAGAGCCGAGAAGAATTGTGTTTGGTAAAATCGGTATTATTATTATCAGAATTTAAAATATAATAAGATGTTGTTACAACATATGAAAGAAATAGCATCGGCGTTTAATGAAAAGTTTTTATTGAAAGTCTTCGTTCTTAAAAAAATCATGCGCTATTGATTCGTTCAAATTATCAAGCAAATTTTATTTACAAATCAATTCTTTCTTTTTTTTTTATTTCTTTTTTGGAAATTTTATTTTTTACTTACTCTTCTTGTTTAACTTTATTAATTTCTAGCAGTCATATTTAGATCTGGCCAATACTGTTAAAACCTTGACAAATTTCGTAAAAATCTTACTTTTTAAATATCGTGATCTATTTTTAGATACTTGGAATCTCAGTAATTGAAATTAGATCTTATACAATTGACTACACATTCGTGAAATCAAAAACTAAACGATAAAGAGATAAAGATAATGTTGAAATTTGAAGAAAATAGGAAACGTCCTTTTATCGACTATGTCGATTGTGTACAAAGCTTTGTATAATTATTTTTGCAATAGAACTTCTTTTGAAACATTATATATATATATGTATAAATAAAAAATTATAACGCGATACAAGAATTTAAAGATACTTATTAAAAGCCAACTAAATCACTATATTTTTGTAGACGAATATACAAACATACACATTTTCGTATAAACTTTGAAAGTTAACAAGATGTACAAAGGACATCGCGAACCTATTCAATGCCTAAGTTCTTAATTTCAATATAAATTACCAAAAATGTTAAAACACTGTGTTCTTGCTTTTTATTTCAAGATGATCATCAAGTTTGAGTGAG